CGTTGAGCTGCACTTGATGGCGAGCCATCGCGGTCAAGTACGAAATAATCGACGTCATCATGTGATGGACGGATGCGTCCGTACTCTCAGCCAGCATGGCGCGCAACGAATCCTCGGTGAGGGGTGGAGGACCACCAGCAGACACAGACGGATCAGCAGGAGCCATCTCCGTGGATTCAGCTACGACAAGAAGTCCCGCTGATGACGCTGCAGTTGAAACGAGTGGGGCAGGCTGAGGGCTGTTCGAACCTCGGTGTCGCCCCCTGTAAAAAAAAGACTAAGGATACATGGTGATGAGCAAGGTACCAAAGTTTCAAGAGGAAGATGAGCTGACTTACCTCCCACTGTTCATGATCATGTCGTCGGCGAGGTTGAAGACGCTGGAGGGCGTGATTATCGGCCCGATTAAGGCGCTTGGCCATCCAGTGACTGGATGGTAAATTGGAGAATGAAGAAATGTCACAACGGGCACCAGCACCGTGGCTTCCATTGCGACAGGGGCAGTTGTGGCGTAGTCATTTCTCCAATGTTGCGGATAATCGCCCGTCGACACAGATGCGACACCGCTCAAGTTGTTCAAGCGACGAACCCTCGGTCTCGTGATGTAACGTGATTTTAAGGTGCAAGAGACTCGACAGCGTCACTTCCAAACACTCAGCGACTATTGGATACGGCCCAGATGTCACTTAATCCAGGCTGTCCTTATTATTAATATTGGACTGGTCGTTCGCATTCTGCGGCCAAGAACTGACCATCTACGGTACGAACCCTCGGTGGCGGTTGGGATGAGTTCGCGGAAGACTCAGCGACCCTTGGAAGACACGTTCACCGTCTGGGACAAGGCGCGAGCCGTTAAAAGATACTCATGCGACGGTGCAGACGACGCTTGGCGTGCAAGAAGATCCATAACGGACAATTGTTCACTTGATATTTGTATACTTAATTAGGACTTCTTATTAGGAATAGACCCGAAAGGGTAAACATAAAAACAGAACAGAATTTCCACTCAAGCACACAGAGCGACGTCCGGCTTCAAGGTAAGCGTCAGGTCAAGCTTGTTTGAGTGTGTTATGCCTGTCGGTGAACTCGAAGCTCTGTAGCGAGGGTTCATCCGGCAAGGCCAAGAGACTTTGTGTATTGGCCGATTACTATCGGGAGGTTTTACGTGACGGCTTATTGTTGCCTATTTGCACGACTGGGAGTGCTTGAATTGCCTCCCTTTTATTTCTTCCAACCGAGTGTTGAACACTCGGTGATCTCGTAAAAGGCTTACCCGTGCCTGGTACCCTTCCGCTGTTGGGACCACGAGGATTCAAAACACCTGCTAGCTTTGCTCGTGCTAGTAGCGTGTTCTTATTTTACTGGTTGGCCTATATAAGTAGTTTACAAGGTCCAGTTTGTCCCGGTGCAAGGGCAGAACTGGGGTCCTCAGGTCCGCCCGAACGATCGTTTACTATCCTAGTAGACGTATTGTTGTGGGAACATCCTAACTACATCTGTAGCTAGAGTTCACGTGGGATTTCCAACACCAGAGATAGCACCCTCCTCCTCCTCTTCCTCCTCCTTCTCCTCCTCTTTATCCGAGGAGTCGAAGAGGCCCCGATGAGAGTGTCGAGTCTCCTTCTCCTCGCGGAGTGGGGACTTAGAAGCCATACGCTTCTTAGAGGGCTTGGCGCCTTCGGCTTTTAGAGGCCTTAGCACGCGCAAGACCCTCGGCAAGCGAGAGACGTTTGCAAAGATTCTCTTCCTCATCGCCACCGGCTTTAGGAGTGCCCTTAGCCTTGACGGCCGGACTCTCAGAGCGCACAGACGGCCTGGGGCTGTGATCACCTTGATCACTAGCGAGCGACTGCACGCTGTCATCCTTGTGCTCACTGGGCACTTGGCTGTGCCCTCCCACAGAGCCCGCAGGAGCATCGTGCGTGCTCTCAGACTCGGCTTCGTCCTCACTGCCAGAGTTGAACTCACGTTTCACGAACCGAGGGGTCCTACGATTGTCTGAGGCCGAGGGCGACGGACTGCGGCGCTTGCTTGCTCGCTTGCCCACAGCCGCGTCACCCGAGGAACCGATTGCCTCGGAGGCCACCTGAGTAGCCTCCTTGAGTGCCGAGCCTTTGCCGTGAGGCTTAGTGCTCTTGGCTTGCGCCTTCCGGCAGCAGCCTTGGAGCGTGTCTTCGCACCGCTCTTTGCAGTGCCACGAGGCATAGTAAATGGTCGAAGTAGAGACCTAGAAGAAAAGCGCACAGACTGCTGCTCGAGGCGTTAACTGTGAAGTGAGCCTCCGGCGCGCTCGCGCGGCCAAGTCGATGGTTTTCGACTTTGAGAATGAAAGTTTGTGACGAACACTTCTTCATTCTGATCGGTCGGTAAACCGAACCTAAGTGGAGGAGGATGTAACGGGGTACGTAGCCCTGAGTGTACCCTGGTTACATGAAGTGTGACACGTCATACTTCGGGATATTTGGTACAAGGTACCAAGGTCGTCCAAAGCCAACCATTGGTTAATGACATTGCATTTCTATAGGTGACTTATAGTTTGTATTAAACCCAAGCTTTATCCACCTATAAATATACTCAGTTTACATTACCATAAATAGGTCACTTCGCTCTCTTTTGATAAAGAGGGGGCCTGTGAACTGCCGTTCACTGAGAGTTTGTATACTCTCGGAAGCTAGCTTCCTCTAGCGCAAGGTGCTGTGTGACCCTGTCACACAACGAATGGCGCAATCGTGCGACAAAGAGGACGAGAAGCGAGAGAGGTATTGTGCCAAGCAGTGAGCAAGCCGTCTTGCATCCAAATTGTGATCCATAGCGGTGGCCAAAATGGAGGATTGTCAGGTGCCCGTCTGGATCTCGATATTAACTCACCAGTAACTCGACAGTACTGGCGAAACTGTAACCTGGGTTACTGGATACAATAGTAACAGTAGAATCAAAAGTACTGGTTACTTTAGTAATAGTAATAGTACTATAGTACTATCTATTCCTGGCGAAGCAAAATACTGATCTACAGTCAGTTGACACTAGTTTAGACAATGTAAACCTACATGTACCTACGCCTCTGTTCACAAAAGTCGCAAAGCATCTATGACCAACGCCGCGCCGCCTGGTCACAACGCATCTACAGTACAGTATAAGCAGTTGACACTAGTTTAGACAATGTAAACCTACATGTACCTACGCCTCTGTTCACAAAAGTCGCAAAGCATCTATGACCAACGCCGCGCCGCCTGGTCACAACGCATCTACAGTATAAGCAGTTGACACTAGTTTAGACAATGTAAACCTACATGAACCTACGCCTCTGTTCACAAAAGTCGCAAAGCATCTATGACCAACGCCGCGCCGCCGCGATGGAAGCGGCCGGCAGAGTTCCTCGTGTACCTGGTCCCCGTGGGCGGCATCCCGTCAGACTTGTTCACATCCTACGCGCGCCTGCTGCAGACCCACAGCGAGCTACCGCTGCGCAGCCTCACGCGTCCTGGGGGCTACGCAGCCGAGTTGTCTCCGTTCCGCGGTCTGGACTGGACTGGCAAGGGCTCACTACGCTTCCACTTCGTTTCAACTGCCGAGCACGTCGAATCATGCGACGGAGAAGATGTACATGTGAGTCGTCGCGTCATCGGCGCATTGGGCGTTTGCCACAGCCCATCACTCACGCTCAGCGGAGGATTACAAGCTGCTCACGCGCAGTTCGAGGCGTCAGTGCGACGATTTCCGGCGCTTCTCATGCACAAACTTTTCGCATTCGAGCACACGTTTGAAGTCGCCACATCCAGCGAGTGTGAGGGACTCAATGACCTCGTCATGTTCCCAGTCCACCACGAACTTGAAGGCACAGGAGAGTCCACCGTGACTCTCCATTTACAGGTCGTTATGGACACACTAGCTGTCAACATCCTTATGGCTTTGGAGAGCGCTATTAGGTCAGCCACGTCCTCTGCTGCTGCGAGTGGGATAATAAAGGGGGGAGACCTCGCCAGTGTCTTATTAGACGTCAACGTGGAGCCACAACAGACGCAAACCATTCAACATTCGGTGTCGTCCCCTCTAGTCCTTTCCCGAGATACTACAACATTCAGTTCAGCTTCCAGTCCGTCCTCTCGCTCGTCTAACTCGTCATTTTCCTCCATACCGCCGCCGTTGGCTGCTGGAGTTTCTGCATTCGACCCGCGGAATCGACGACGGAAACGGCACTTGGCACGTCGAGAAAAACTACTGGGAGACTACAGTGTACTCGCGAGTTGCATCTCAGACGCGATGGATCATTACATTGTAGCAATAGAAATGTTACGAGAAGAAGAACGACGCAGTGGAGGCGCCTCGGGAGACGCTTTATGGCTGGCAGCTGCACTAGAAGGATACGTTTTTTGTCTATACACAGACGTACAGAGCAGATTCTCGGCTGAATTAGTGGAAAAGGCGTCAGAAGCCGTCGCATTCTACGCCAAAGCAGGCACAACAGAGCTGGAAAGCCTTCTAATTGAGAATCTCGGGTGGTATTACGTCGATGTGGCGACTTCGACATTGACACGCACGTCAATGACAGGAGAAGCAAAGTTGTCAGAAAGTGTATGGATCAAGCGATTACTATGGGACGTATTAGAGAGAGGACTGATGCTGTTTCCAGAGCTTCAGCCGCAACGCCAAGTCGAGTTTTTGATCCAGACGAGTCGAATGCTAGAGACTGTGGGTCATCGTCGTCGTGTGGCTCTCTTTCTGCACGAAGCCGCGTCTCTGCTGCTAGCCAGGAATGCACCCAATGTAGACGCGCAGTTAAAGCTGTTGCTATCACCTTCCAGTGTGACGAAAGGGCCTCAGCGACAAAGAGACTTGGAGGCTGCTCTCTTTCTGGAGCGTGCTGCGGCGGAACGGTTGGGTATCCTAGACCGGAGAGACGAGTTGCCATGGGAAGTCACAACTCAATATCGAAGGAACAGGAGGAAGGAATCATTCAACTCTACAACTACTCTGGATAATTCCTGGCTGATCATACGCTTCCATGTACTACGACAGCTCCTGACCATTGCAAGGATGCTGGGAGACGCATTACTCGTCGGGAAATACTGCCTTGAGCTGCTAGAAATGCTGGTGTGGTGTGATTCCATCGCATCTGTGGACCCTTCTCAGTCCTCACCGCTGCTAGTGGACCATCTCCAACACCCTGCTACTTCTCTTCGTGTGGCTCATCCTCCCATCGAAAGGACAGCAGCAGGTCTTCATGCAAGGAGTAGCGTGTATTCCTCTCCCCCGCCAGGTATTGACACGAGAGTGAGACGCAACTTTATCAATTCTCCATCAACCACCATGTCCAATGCAGCGGCTTCTTTACAGTTAACGCTGACCAACACACCTCGAATCCTAGCGACGCCAAGACAGCAATTTTCCGCTGCGGTGAATGCGATTTCTACTAAGGCATCGCCAGCGTTTACTCCGTTTTCTCATGCACATCACCAGCTCAATGGAGCCCTGACAAGCCGCGCAAGCGGCACAGAAGATCGTACACAACATGATGGAAAGGAGTTTGGCGTTAACGGAGACGGTGGGTCCAAGAGTTCTCGAGTTCTGGGTAGGAACGAAGGGGAGACTGATGCTGCTGGAGCAGTCACAGCAGCTGGCTTAGTGTGGAATTTACGATCAAGGGCAGAGATTGCCATGGTTGAACGAAATCTGCTGAAAATTCTGGAGGCGGTCTGCACAGCGCTGCGTCCAAGTGAGCAAACAAAGCTGCCTACCTTCCTCCACGTGGATAAACTAAAGTTGCGCTCAAGTTGCAACTCGCAGCATCCTTTTTTCCCCAGAGAGACTGCTCTCGAGATGTTTGGAGTGCAGTCAGCGTCTGGTCAACTATCGGTCAAATCCGATTTCTTCTATTCTCCATTCGAGAAGAAGAAGATGAAGCGGAAGACTGGAGATAGTGGAGAAGAGGACGACAGTGAGGACGCGCCCGCGATGTACGAAAGGGGATTTCCAGTTCACGAGCGAATTGAGCTTCAATTGACCTTATCCAACCCAACGGGGGTCGCTGTTAAGCTTCAGGAAGTGAAAGCGTGGGTCACATTCGCTGAGAATGACCACAGCACCAGCACAGCTACAAAAGATGGATATATCGAGTGCTATCCATGCTTTTTCACGTTAGAACCATATCAGAAACGCAAGACGGTGGTGCTGGGGCTTCAACCGCTGAAAGTGGGGACATTCCATGTTCGCGGCTGCTTCATCAAGGCCCTCAACATCCAGACTTCCTTCTACCTACGAGACCCTGTCAATGTCCGCGTTGTAGGTGAGTTGCCAGTGGTTTCACTTTCTCTTCGAGAGCATGGAACAATGGCGCTATTGGATGGGAAGAGGGCTGCAGCAGAACTGGCAACCTCTAAGATGCAGATGGCGATACTTGCTTCCGAGACAAGACGCTGTATGCTTCGTGCTCGTAGCACTGGCAACCGCCCTATCACCAACTACAGACTGGCGGTCACGCTTCAACATCGTCGTGCAGAGAAGAAAACATGTGTGGTTTTCAATAACTTACCGTCGACAACAGATGGTAGCAGTGTCAACGGTAGAGCTGGTGCGTCTCCAATCGGAAAAATCGAGACGAAAGCTCTTGCACTGAGATGTGGCAAAGTGGTGTCGTCCCCACTCCCGCTAACAAGCGGCGACTTTGTGAGTATTCCTTTCGACGTATCCCTTTACGGACAACAGGAGGCGATGGATGAGGATATCCAGATTGAGTGGAGTTTTGTATATGCTGATGAGACTGGCACCTCGGTGGATGCTGTCTTTTATCGAGAGGCTAAGCTGACATTGCAGCTGCTGCCACTACCGTCGCTCATGCTTCAGGCGGTGGCGGTACTACCGTGCAGCTCGGAACATTTTCCGAAATGCCGAATAGAGGGAGGCAACGCAGAGGCGGTGACAACGGACCATTTGTATTGTGCCGTCCTGGTCCAGGTCGTTAATCCGACTGAAACAACCTTCCGATTCCGACTGCGCCGTGACCTTGACGACAGCGGAGATGCCATCTGTGAGGCGGAGATTGGTCGCCAATGCTCGCGCCGGTTTGTGGTCGAAGCTCCGCGCTTGCAGGCGTTTCCCTGCTTGGTCGATGTGCTGAATGATCTGCTAGAGATGGAGTGGGAAACGTATTTCGGAACACGGGGACGTCTGCTCTGTGAGGGCGTCCATGTCGGATCGAGTGCTGAGCAGGAGCAGATGACACTTGAGCTTTTGATACCGCCAATCAGCTTCAAGGTTCAATCTCCACTCGAGGAGGTCGCGTCAGCTGTGGCACGTGAAGAGCAGAATGGAGGTGTGAGCAAGCCCAAGCACGGAAGATATCGGAGCTTGTCACTTCATCCGTTGAGTTTCTTCCAAATGACCCATTTAACTGTCGGACATCGGGTGTTGGAGACCAAACTGTTCCAATATGTTCCCATTACTGTCACAATCCAGCGAGCAGAAATCACCGGAGAGCAGTCAGTATCAGGTGTGGAGGTTGAGGTGCGAGTTACAGAGGAAGACGATGGCTTTGAGAACAGTGACCAAGTGATGGTTGTGGGACTATTGAAGACCCACGTCCGATGGGATGACCCGACGGATCGAAGTGCTAAGTTCCACGAGGTTCAGTGTGTGTTTCTGTCGGAGGGAAACTTTTGCGTCGCTGTGTGTGGTCGAGTACTTGACCAGGATGTGAAGCCAATAGGCGGAGCGGTTTGGGCTCACCAGCCAATGCATGTCCGCGTCCGATCGGACGACGCGGAGAAGACCACGAGTACTATTTATTAAAACGAAAGGGTGTAACTTGAAGTTGAACATTCACTCTGATAGAATGATGGTCAAACTTCAACGTGATCTTTTAAATAGGATTTGAAACGTGTGTTCTAAAATTATACTGAAGTATTTTATTATTGTGACCCGTCGAAATAGCCACGCCATCGAAATGGTGCGTACGGAGGTGGTCGCGAGCGACTACTTCCAGATCCCGCCAGCTGCTTTGGGATGAGTTGAAGATCAATGTGCGCGCGACAGAAGAAGATGAGCTGCGAAAGGGCCATCGGAAGCCACCTGATCGAAGGAAACGAGGTTTAAACTTGTCTTCGTTGCAAGGAATTAGGCAGACTGTATCATTAAAATTGATGGGCTTCGGCAGGATTTACGTCAGGAACTTGCGGTGTTAGTCCAGGTCTTGGCCGAATTTCAGCAGCAAAATGATGACATCCGGGTGCGATTTCGGTGGATAATACCATAACTTTTGGCTAACACTGACCACGGTATTCAACGACAGGGTGCTCTAGCAAAGCGGCCTCGTATCCCCGAGCCCCCTGGGCGTACTTTACTGATCGAAAAGTTAAAACTAATGGCTGCAGACATGGTCGGCCACTCGTGTGCTGTCACTATTCAGTCTTCTAAAGCCGCGGAGGTGCTAGACTACGTGCTATCAACCGATGATAAGTCTAATCCCTACAACCATCGATCGCCGATGACACCTAAAATGGAGGATACATCACCTAGACCAGGCTCAAGCGATCAGGCAGACGGGGTTATCCTTCGCCCCCGAACGGCAAGCAGTAAGCGTCCAATGACTTCCAACTCTCAGCGACCAGTATCCCGAGGCTCGACAATTTCACTCTCGTCGATTGCTGCGTTGTTTGAGAGCCCAGAGGTGAGGCTGATGCTTGGATACAGTGATTGTTATTTCAGTAATGATGCTTACATGATGATGCAGATGCACCAGCGCTTAAACCTTGATGAAATCGACGGAATCAAGGAAGACTTACGCGAGGCATTAAATGAGGAGCGCCAACTGCTTCTCGAGGACATCGATTTTATTCAGGTATTGGTATTTGAGCTTGCCTCTTATTTCATCAGCTAGTGAGTGAGGGATGATCTGATTCGCAGGGCTGTCTCGAAATGGAAAAAGATCTCATTGACGACGACCGGAGAAAAGTTGCTGATGCTAAGCCACCACCACCACTTAGAGATTTGCATGAACTTCATATGAGTTAGAAAAAAACACTAGAAGACCAGGTAAATATTTCAATGCTGTGCAACTTGAGACAAAAACTGATTGTGTTATCTACTGCTCTATAGGAGGCAGTCGGAAGAATGGAGACCATACTCAACAAAGCAAACGACTCAACCTCCCGTTTGGGCAATCGGTAAGAATTGATGAGCGACACAAAAGAAATGTGATCTCATTCCGAAACGTTTTATCATACAGGCTCAACCCTGTACCCCCACCGTCGTATACGGAATCTCCAGCAAGCTCACGTTGCCCTCTTCCGTCTCATAGGGCTTTACCATCTCCTTCACTAGCGCGAACTGATTCAGCAACACGGATACTTAAGATTCGGCACATGGTGCAAGAGTCCCGCGACGAACCTTATTTATCATAATATCTTCCAACCTGTGTATGAGCACCACAAACTATACTGCTCATTTTTTTATTATACTGCTCAGCTGCTAGAGTGAGCGATTTATTCCTTTTCATCGACAGCCTGCAGCCCAATCTCGGTGAACTCGAGGTTGTTGTCAAGCACCTTGCGGTCGGACGCCTTCAATTTGGATGGGACAATGACTTCAGCAGGTCGAGATGGACGCAGCGAGTCGCCATCGAAGGCCTCGCCAATAACTTTGATGGGGTTGGATCGGCCTCGGTCTAGAATATCTTTCAAGACGACAGGAATCTCGTCGGATCGAGATTGTATCGCATCGTGAAGCTGGGAAGCGAGTGCAACATACATCTGGAATATGTCACCGCAATAACAACTCACGTAAAGACACACCCACACATAAGTAACTCGAGACTTACAGTTCTTACCCTGTTCATTCCGACCAACACACTCGATTGCTTGTTGCATTCGGGATATAGAGCTCCACTCCGCAATGCCACAACACATTGCAGTGTTATATTGATAAGCACACAGGCAAAGGGGAAGTGGCGTGTTGGATGTTGCGAAAGAGCGTGAAATCGAAGAGCAAGATCACGAAAAGTCTCGACCAAGTTGAGAATTTGAAGCAGTGAGAGCACGCCGCATCCACGCAAGTCCGTCGAGGGGTCAGATCCCTGAAATCCAATGTCTTCCCAGTGTCTTCCGATCAGGAGAACGTCCCGTGTATTTTTCGTGAGTTTTTTGTAGATAGTTTGTAATATCCCAACCACAATCTCATTGTGAGCGTCGAACGCAGTCGCGGCAATGCAAAAGACGCGATCACGCTCGTCGATTGCACCGGGGAAAGTGAGACGAGGACGCGATAGGCATTTCATACACGAGCCACGACTGAAATCTTCCGAGACAATGATGTCTCTGTGCTGCATGACATCTGGAGTCTCGGCGTAGTACTTTGCTGCTTCAGTGTACGATACTATCGCTGTTTCTGGGCTGTCGCCAGCGTTTGCAGACTGAGATTGTCTGTGTTGCACCAGTTTGATTTCCCTCCACTCCGCCGACTCATCGACATCACGTTTTTCGGAAGTGGCCTTCGTATCTGGTGCGTTATCACAAGCAACGCTCGCCTCTCTTCCATCGTTGTGTGCCTTTTCCTCCCCCTCACTATCCTCGTCATCAGCTTCCTCTATTATAGTTTCAGTCTTTCCTGATATTGGGCTAAAAATCCTTCCCATGACAGACGAGCGACTTGATTCAGCTTCCGTACTGTTCTTTTTTTCTTCGTCCATAAGAACTTCTTGGTCTCCCAGACCTCGTTTGTAGATGCTGTGGAGCTCAGCGAGCGACAGTGCATCAGCGTCTTTATATGCTGTCGCATCAGGCTGCGTGGAGTCCATAGCTTGGTCGCTTTCATTGAGCTTCTTCTCTTCGTCCGTTGCCCGCTTGAGTTCCTTCAGAAGCTCTTCCTCCTCCTTTCGCTTTTTTACCTCGAGCGATTCTCTGCGCGCTTTTATAGAAACTTCCGACAGCACACTCAAATCGTTCTCGAGGTTCACATCAAACGCAAATTCATCGTCCTCTGCGGTACCAATAGTTTTACTGGGACTCGCCCCAGTTGTAGCAACGGAGAAAGGAAACGTCGCTTGTAAGCTCCATCTCCTTCTCAAATTCTCGTTCATCCGGGAAAGCTGGACCACTGGGAAGCGTATATTTACCCTCGTCTTCATCAGCGCCAGGCTCATCCATTATCTTTCGCAGGCTCTGGTACGAAATTCCAAATGTTGCGTCAGAAAGGAGTTTGCCAGCGTTAGAGCCCCCAGCGATTCTGTGGATGTCGGAGAACGGGCTGCCGGGCTCCAGTGTCGCAACGTGGGCAACACAAACTTCTCCACTAAATGAAAGGTCAATCGCGCTTGGGCCATCATCTTTGCTGCTCGGGGGTGCCTTCAGAAGTGCGTTTTTATCTGCATCAGAGCTGCTCTCTTCCTTAGACCCGCGCTCTTTTTCTTCAATATGAAGACTACCAATTACCGTTGCGTCAACCTCCAGCACATCTTCATCGTCATCTTCTGGACCACCTAGCTGTAACGGGGGTCGTAATTGAGATGTTTCGCCTTCATCTTCATCCTGAGAATCATCTGAATCGTCGTTGTCGTCCTCAACAGTATTAATGGAGCCAACAATGACAGGAACACAAGTTGGTGCTGGTGGAGGCAGAGCGATTTTTAATGCTTCATTAACTTCTTCTTGAACTTGAGGAGGTGGAAGCATTTCCGGACTTTCCACTTCAGTATCCATTGCCTCATTTTGCCCAAAGTCGGTATTCGGAGTGGAGACTACAGCGACATCGAGACTTTCGTCCACTTCAGTATCAGCTTCGTCGTCCCTGGCTTCGACTTGTACCGGAAGTTCGTGCTCTTCCGCATCATTTACGACTTTCTCTTCGTTTTGAATAAGTTTCTGTGAAGATTTCAGTTGTTCTTCTTCGGTTGGGATAGCTGCCTCATTCTCGTTTGTTTCTCTCGATCGTTCAGATGCGTCTTCATTGTCTGCGCTCGATGCTAAATCAAGAACCGCTTGAACCACCACATCACTCGACAGCGGCGAGAAATACCCCATTGGAGCTGGTTCTTGCAAAGCCAGGTCGTCCTCGCCGTCCACATCACGCAGTAGGTCTATATGGATATCAGTAGCAAATGTCTCGTGATCTACAACTTCTATTTGGTTTAAGCCAAACATACCCACCATCCAGAACATCCACATCTGAAGGACTGCTAGACTCCATTGCAATTCATGCAACAACTTCTCGGAGTTTCTCCTTCCCTTTGTGTTGCCTAGAGTTGAAACGGTCTTGCCCTTTCACACCCATGTTGCACCAAGGTCGCACAACATACCTTTTTTGTCAAAGCCCTTAGAGCATCTACCAACAAATGCGCAAAAATGATCTTCGTAGTGCAATTAGAAAACTGTAGTTGCTGGAGCTTATGGAGCTATTTTTCGTGCTTAAGGCGCCCGAATTGTACATCGTAACCCTTTGCTCCAAAAAGCGAAGCACAATGAGTATTTCAGCGAGCGGTTTGCTCCAAGGAGCAAAACACCAGGACCCTCTATGATCTTATGCACTAAAGCGCGTTGAAGATGGCCTGGTTTCCATTGGATTCCGCACTCCGCACTCCACTGCGCATTCCGCACTCCACTGCGCATTCCGCACTCGGCAGCACCATGGAGCACAAGGCAGCACACAGTCTCTCTAAAGTTCGAGCGCCATTCCGACCGCCCACGAGGGCTACAAAATGTTCTTCTGCAGAAGGAGTTCAAGACGCAGAACCAGCAACAAAGAAGCAGGCAACTACGAGGGCGCAGGCAGAGGCAAACGTTTCAGAGAGCTCTTTAACGACGGCAGTAGATCGTGTCTGGTAGCCTCAAAGCGACGTCTAACTCCTCGATCTCATCCGGTAAGAACCGAAGCCGGCACTTACATAGTGCTGGACTGATTCCGGCCAAGCAAAATGTTATGGACACGACAGGAACGCGGTCGTTGATGGCTCGCATGCACATGAATCGAGCCAGATGATGAAGCACTTCACCGAAGTCCAACCCAAGCGCAAGCATGGCCGCTATGAGCACCTTCAGATCGTCTACCTTGACGTCCAACCGCGTGGAGTGATACATCTGAGATTTAATAAGGAGTACAGTGATATCTCGATTTTACTCTCGCCTAAGCTACAGTTCAATTTTTTGGAGTTGGAGCTGCCTCTTGGAGCATCTCCAAATAGCTCCAGACCAAAATAGCTCCAGACCAAAATAGCTCCAAGCAACCCCAGTTCTCTATTACTCTGTACGAGCCTCCCGTATTGCACACGCAGTGTAACCACCCTAATTGGTCTCGTAGGCCACTTCCTTCACGGCCCGACCACAAAATAGCTTTATGTAGCCTTAGCACATGTACATGCATTATATTACCCAGCGTATTGGATATTAGACGTTTCCACGGGCACGCTAGCACGCTGGATGGCGGGACCAAAAGCTCCAGGATCTGGTCGACAGTGCTTGGAAAGGGGAAAGTCTGGAAGTGGTGTTCACCTCTAACCGCTAAGCACATCGACCTCACCGATCCTACATACATTATAAATATATGAATGGCCTCAACATCTTATCTACTCCTAGAATAGACGCAAGCGTAAGAATGGAAGGCCTCCTTCGACACGCCCCCTTGCTCGCGTCACCTGCGAGTATGAACACAGCTCAGCGCCATCGCGTTTACAATCACCGAAAATATGGGTACGAACGTTGCATGCCATATGTACAGTACGCGATCGTTGCGTTTACTGTCACACCACGAACAACATGCTAGCGAACTCGAACATGTCACGGTCTTCGGCTAGAGGAAGGACTCGCTATTCGGGACGACTGCCTACGGCAATTTAGCGAGCGGCGTAAGAAGAGTGTCAGGCCCGATCAGTCTCGTTCCCCGTCGCCGACTACCTCGTCCCTAGTCTAAAATGGAACGAAGGAGTTTAGTCAGTGGTACGCTGACTCGGTTTACGAACGACAACTAGAGATACTGGTGTTGGTAGGAGGTACTTTGGCAAGTTAGAGGGCTGGGGAGAGAGCTCTCAGTCGTGAATTTCCTTCTTTTACGAGAAGTGCTCAAGAAAAACAAATACGAAACAAGTATATTTTACACATCTAATACGTCTAAGTTCCTACGTCGGCTTTCACAAGATACACGACCCCGACAAGAGAAGGAGACCGCGACAATTTGGTGGAGAAGCAGGGTATCTTCTAGCCAATTTTCGTAGGAACGTAATAGAGAAGAAGCGGAGAGAGCCGCTTGGAATACCTTAGCGTCGAAGTACTCGGGCGAAGGTGCGAGGGAGCCGGGACGAGATGAGCTCCCTAAACTGGAACGATCCAATAGAGGACGAAGAGCAGCGCCTCGCACGGATCGTGGCGAATGCTGACGAGGACCAGATCGCGGACGCCCCAGCTGCGAAAGGGGGAGGCGGCGAAGTGAATCCCCGAACGCATGGTGAATCCAAAGAGACGGCTGAGATCCGAACGGAACGAGCGGTAGAAGGGCTGAGGGAACGAGCGGCCCAGGAGGACGACGAAAGCTTGTTTGGAGCGTCACCACGAGCCGAGGAGAACCGAAGAATGTTCATGACGATGTTGGGGACACCCCAGGGCAGAGCCAGCTTCCAAGCGCTCCTCGGGACTCTATAAGATCGACCGACTCCCAGAGAGGAGCAGGCGCGGTCACGAGAGGCAAGAGAGACCGAGACGACGTGTTCTGGAACGTGGAGGGGAGTGTCGTTCTCGCTGGATCCGTCCCGACCATCGCTAACTCACGTGGTTGAGACTAAGCGGGAGGCGCCCTCGGCGGCGACAGCTGAAAACTTGCAGGAAGAGGATGTTGGAGGACTGTATGAGAGCGACGTTCCTGCATCTTGGTCGCGCGTTCGAAGTACGACTAACTTCCAAGCTGGACCGTTGAGCAGAGTGGAACGTCACTGGGCGTCAAGTGCGACTTTGCAAGCGCCTACCACGACGGTACGCCGTGGAACGACTCCTGCTAGTCCAAACGCGATGCCGACGAACCGAGGAACGACGCCCACGAATTTTGGAACGATCCCTGCGAGGGACGGAACGACGCCTACGAGTGAAGGGACGGCGAAGGTGGACCCGGCTCTTCAAGCCTTTATCGTCAACACCATCGGCCAGGCCATGCAGCAAATGGCTATGTCAAGTGTGTCTGTAGGGGCTCAACCCCCTTCGTCGAAAGGCCAAGGGTCAATAGAGTTGGAGGCTCTGCCTCGACACTCGATGAACGAGTTAGATCGACTGCTGGAGTCCCCGAGGAGTGGAACCCGTAGTCCCGCGAGAGGAGATACCGTGTATCGGTCAAACCCTGAAGTTCGAACCGGCGGACCCTCGTCTCCTATCCCTTTGTATGAGAAGGCTTCCGACCGAGCACCCCGAACGTACGAAGGAAGCGGAGCGTATGGCACGCCGAGACAATACTCGTCCTCGAATCCGTATGGTCCGATGTTACCGCCGGACTGGAACCCGATTGAGATGCCTCCTACTTACCCGTCCACGCCTATGACTACGCCTGCAATGCCGACCGGAACGTGAACGGAGAGAACGCTGAATTGGGGAACGAAGCCTCATCGACGAAAGATCGTTCCAAGGTCACGAAGGAGACCCGAGGCTCAGTAGAAACGTGTCTCGGGTCTGACCGAGAACGATACCCGAAATATGCGACGCCTCACCCAACTGCTCCCATGGCCTAATATGCGGGACGTGAGCCGCATGACTATGGCCGAGGGCTCGCTCCGATGGTGGGAATTCCGAACGAATTGAGGAACGCAGTCAAGGTGATCGTTCCATTTTATTCGGACACGGCCTCGAGTGAACGAGCTGCCGCGTTTTGGCGCTCGTTCGAGAAGTGTATGATGGTCTTGGACGATCAACTGCGCTTGACGGCTTTCGAACAGTGCCTGAAGGGCAAAAAGGGACAAGAATGGTGGTACAACTCGAGAATCCATAACTTTGAGTCGCCGTTCCAGATTTCACAACCGGTTCGTTTGCCTGACTCCGGCCCAAACCTGGACCCGCCTTAAGACGGCAGCTAGGAAACGAGGCGAGTCTGCCGAGGAATGGGGCGATCGACTCGAGACGATATGCGACGCGCTGAACTTACCCGAACCCCGCATGAGGTACGAGTTCTTCCTTGAGGGAATAAGGAACAAGCAGATGCGAGCGGTGCTGAACAGTAGCATGATTGGGTCTATTGAGCAAGCCTGTCGTATTCTGTTGTTCAAGAATCTTCACCTGCCTATCGAAGAGGACGATGAATTTCGCGAGGTTGGAATGAAGCCTCTGAGCACGAAGAATGTACCCTCGACGGAGTTACAAGTACTTCAGGAATTGCAACTACTAAATCGGAGCGTGCAAAAACATTTTGGAACGAGCGATGGATACATAGGTGCAGTGACTCTGAATGATCAGAAACCGACTAGTCCTTCTAACGGCGGATTGAGTGCTGAACTGGGGCCTCCCAACATTTGTATGGGCCCCGACACTCGTACCGCGGAAGGAGAAGTGGTGTGCGGACGCTGCGAACGAAAAGGGTGTGGTCGAGAGACGTGTCCTCGCGCGAGAGGGCTGTGTAATCGCTGTCACCAACTTGGTCACTACTCCATGGAGTGTAGTTTGCCTAGGAGAACGAGTGGGAATCGATTTGGAGATCGCCGACCCGCGGAGTGTTTCTTCTGTCGACAATCGGGTCATGGCGTGAACCAACTGTCCCGAGATCGAAAAACTACGTAGTCTCTCGAGAAATGCCGTAGCAAGTGGAACGATGACTGCTCAAAGTTCGGCTATACCGACTGGAATGTCCCGACAATGAAGGGGGCAAGAGGGAGGGGAAAGAAGTGTCGCTCTTTCCTCTTGCCAGGTTGGCGACACAAAAGAAGATGAAGGTTCACAGCTAAGTGGATTTGGTGGACCTGAGAGGGCTCCCGAGGTTGGTGTGAATACTGGAGTAAACGCTCGAAGCGTTCCCGTTGCGAGCGTGACGACTGAAAATGCGGATGCTGTGATTGGAACGAGCAGTCTAACGGAACGGACTGGTTCAAGGTACGAAAGAGAAGAGGAAGTCTCTACGAGGGGACCGGAAGTGGGGATGGAACGAGAGGGAGGAGCAACGGAAAGCTCCTTGGTAACATTGGAGAGTGAAGGTGGAACGAAGAATCGTTCCAATTGCGCACAGGACGTCGATCAAGGGACAACGGAACGTCCCGAGGATGCGTTGAAGACCCAGGAAGGAGCAACGGAAAGCTCCTTGGTAACATTGGAGAGTGAAGGTGGAACGAAGGATCGTTCCAATTGCGCACAGGACGTCGATCAAGGGACAACGGAACGTCCCAAGGATGCGTTGAAGACCCAGGAAGAGTGCGGCGGAAGAACGGAAACGGACGAGTTGTCCGACGCGTCTACACGGGATAAACAGGCACTCGAGTTAAAGACGGAAGACGTGGTATGCGTCAGAACTAACCTGTTTGCGGCCGTGATCGGAGTAGTAGATGTGTAATGGGCTCTCCCAAGCTGCATATGTAGGTAGTTTTATAGGTTCTTTGTAGTGGTTCACACCATTACATAAGTAGGTAGATTTGCATTACAAAAGTAGGTGCAGCAGCACACGAGTAGCGTGTGCTGAACTGCCGTCACCTTATTGGTTGAAATATGGGGAGCCAGACCCATAATCAACCAATAAGGAGTTGACGTGTATTTGAGTGGTCAGGGCAAGCTGCCCTGGACCTAAATAAAAACAGAGTTGATTTTCCTTCAGACTAAGTACTTGGTTTCAGTATCACTGAACTTGTACGCTTCCTCATCACTACGTGTAAGCAAGTAACGGACACCCCAGGCCCGTTACACCTGGTAGCACTTTGTAGTCCTTCCCATGACCAAGTTCACGATGAGCCAAGGTATGACGTCTGAAACTCCAGGGCCGACCCTGGAACATGCTGCTTTCCCTCATCTCACTCGTGTCGAGTGGGAAGCCCTTCACCGCCTCGCGGCGGTGTCTGGTGAGGCTGTAATCGCGTCGCTGCTGAGCTCAGCGACGTCCGACCAATAACGCCAAGCAGCCCAAGAGTTCATGG